TTTTCGGATGTGAATAATGGTGGGAAGGAGAGTCTGGACTTCAATAGCGATTCGAATCAACCCGAACCCGATCCTGATTGGGCCTCAACGGAGTCCGTTTTGAGCTTGGACTATCCGTCGTCGCGGGTTTCATCCAGTAAGGCCTTGGATTGTGATGTACGACGGCCTCCGCTTGTGACGTTTCGGGACATTGAGTCTGATGATGGTGTTGATGAAGAGGAAGCTGAGGTTGTACAGGCCAAGCGGGAACCTCAAAGCAAAGGGAAGAAGAGGACGTGCTATCGGTGTTTTAAGGGGACCAGGTTCACTGAAAAAGAGGTTTGCATTGTCTGTGATGCCAAGTATTGCAGTAGTTGTGTGCTTAGAGCAATGGGGTCGATGCCCGAAGGTAGAAAATGTGTGACTTGCATTGGGTTTCCTATTGATGAGTCTAAAAGAGGGAGCTTGGGAAAGTGCTCTAGAATGCTCAAGCGGCTGTTAAATGATTTGGAGGTTCGACAGGTGATGAAAGCTGAAAAGTTTTGTGAAGCAAATCAGCTGCCGGCGGATTATATTTGTGTGAATGGACAGCCTCTTTGTCATGAGGAGCTGGTTATATTGCAAACCTGCCCAAATCCACCAAAGAAGCTAAAACCAGGAAACTATTGGTATGATAAAGTTTCTGGTCTTTGGGGAAAGGTGAATATGGTTTACTTGATTCGTTTTGTTGTTTCTTGTTGTCTTGTCTTTGTGCTAACTCCCTTTTGGAATTTCGTGTTGCTGTTGAATTTTAACAGGAAGGGCAGAAGCCTTCCAAGATAATTAGTCCCCATCTTAGTGTTGGGGGTCCCATCAAGACAAATGCTAGCAATGGAAACACACAGGTTTACATAAATGGTCGGGAAATTACTAAAGTAGAGCTTCGGATGTTGCAGGTTGAATAGACTTTCTAGACATATAGAATCACTGTTGCAATTGGTTAATATGCATGGTTAATTGAAACTTTCTTCAACATTGCAGTTGGCAGGGGTTCAGTGTGCTGGTAACCCACACTTTTGGGTGAATGAGGATGGGTCATACCAAGAGGAGGGCCAGAAGAACACTAAAGGATACATATGGGGAAAGGTATGGTTTCTGAGAATACGTGCATTCATCATTTATGTTTTGTGTGCTTCTTTAGATTTTCATGTATATTAAATTACTCATAATTACTTATTCAGGCTGGAACAAAGCTAGTATGTGCTGTCTTGTCACTACCAGTCCCTTCTAAATCTTCAAATCCTTGCGGAGAACCCCTGAACTATGTGGGTACCAGAGTCGTTCCTGATTACATTGAGCAGAGAATACTTCAGAAGATCCTTTTAGTTGGATATAATGGTTCCGGAACAAGTACTATATTCAAACAGGTGATTGATACATCGGGAATTATGTGTGTAATGGCTCATACTTGCTATTCTGTTTATGTGAGGATGACTTGTCTATAGTAAACTCTGAAGCTGAATAAATTTTGTTTCAAGAGATGGATAATATCTCCAAATCAACATATGTGTATAACATGTGTGGTTTGTAAGTTAAATCTCGTTTCAATAGTGGTGCATAAAATAATTACACTATTTTCCTTGCTTCTCAAAGTCTAGTTTACGTGTTGACAAAAAAAAAGAGAAAACAACTTCTAGTCAAGCTTTATGCCTTAAATTATATGCAGTTGTTATTGTTCAAGCATACTTTCTGAAAACGGTAGTTTTGTTTTCATATGGATTTTGAATTGTATGTGTGCTACATGTAATAGCAAACATACTGGAAAAGAATAGTCATTAAGTCTTTGTTTTAAGATATCTTGACTAGGATGCATTTCTTAGCCAACAGGTTTGCACTTGGTTTTCAGTTTCTAATTCATATCCAGTCGTTCAGAATGGAGCTCTTATTCTGCACCAAATTTTGATAAACCCTTACAAAGTACGTTAACCTTTTGTAATTATGAATGTTTGTTCCAGGCCAAGATTCTATACAAAGCTATCCCTTTCTTGGAGGAGGAGCGTGAAAATATCAAGTTCACAATACAGAGCAATGTGTATGGCTACCTTGGTATACTCCTTGAGGGCCGTGAGCGGTTTGAAGAGGAATGTTTGGATGAGATGAGGAAACAATGTTCTTCCAGTCAAATGGATGCTAATGGTATGATTGTATATACTTTTATAAGTTTTTCCATCTCTTTGACTTTATGCATGTGTGCATCTGCATACCCGTAGTTTATGTTGTTCAGAATGAGAACTAGATAATGTGTTTATAAGATATTTATATGTCAAAACAATTGTTTGACAGCAGATTTGACTTTATGTAAATTCCACTTTAAGGAATTCAGTTTTCTTTTTTAGCATTGATTTATTAACAATGTATTATTATAATTCTCTTAGTCAGGTTGGCTAGTCATACATCATACTTGGAGAGGCTTGCATTCAGAATAACCATGTTGAGATTGATATATTGCTTAAAAAAGTTATCTTCTGGCTAATAACAGGGAATAACGACAAAACTCTTTACTCCATTGGGCCGAGGCTGAAAGCATTCTCTGATTGGCTTCTCAAGACTATGGTGTCGGGCAATCTGGAAGCCATTTTTCCAGCGGCTACTCGTGAATATGCACCATTGGTTGAAGAATTGTGGAAAGATGCAGCCATTCAGGCCACATACAAGCGGAGAAGTGAATTGGAAATGCTACCTAGTGTTGCTACTTATTTCTTAGAGAGGGTAAGATGATGCTGTGTGCTCCTGTGTTTAACTCTTGTAAATTGTTTCTGTGGTACTCATGCTGTTCAATAGTATTATCTTGTGCTTAATCTAATGGACTGGTTCTGTTAATTGTACAAATTTTGTATCAACTAATGGGGACTATAGGAAAGATGGGGATGCACAATGTCTGTGGAGGAAGAGATATAATTGTGGTTGTAAGATAGAGTGAAATCCTGTAAAATAATTATAAAAATAGTACAGAGAGCAAGAGTTGGGGCAACTGATTAGGTTGGGAGTGCCCTTAACACACATCTCTAACTAGGCCATTTTGCAGATGTAAGTATATGATCATATCCTTGGACATGTTTTTAGTTGTAGTTCAAACAAACAAAATTGTGCGAATGGGGAAGATGTACTGGTTCGCTCTAGTCAACATGTGTATAAAAGACCAAGTGGATGTCTTAAATCTCAGGTCTATTTTTGGCTCTGGAAATGCTTGGTTGCCAGATAATTGCTTGTCCTTCATCTGTTTCATAATGTATTACTCCAAATCTCATTTGTGGCTTGCAGTTTATTATTATGTTTTCTAAAATTGAAATTTTCCCTTTTCAGACTGTGGACATATTAAGAATAGACTATGAGCCCTCGGATCTAGACATCCTATATGCTGAAGGTGTAACTTCATCTAATGGGCTTGCTTGTGTGGACTTCTCATTTCCCCACTCAGCATCTGAAGATAGCATCAACACTAGCGATCAGCATGACTCTTTGCTTAGGTCTGTTACCCTGTTTATTTCACACTTCAGATGACCCTGAGCTGCTTACTTTTTGTTTTTTGTTTTGTAAATAATTATTTCTACTGATAAGCTCATGTGTGGATAAGTGTTGGTGAAAAACCATGGAAATAGATAGATTAGATGCTTGGAAAACTGAAGTTAAAGCTAGAAATGGTAACATAAATATGTTCAGTTAGTTTCCTTGTACTGTCGAACACCTTGAGTTGACTGCTACTTTCATATTCTCTTTTTCACTTCCACTGGTCACTGAGACGGTGTTTACTTCTTGCTTTGTTCACTTTGACTGATCATTAACCTTTCTTTTATCTGGTTGCTTCGTAGGTACCAACTTATTAGAGTAAATGCAAGAGGACTAGGAGAAAACTGCAAATGGTTAGAGATGTTTGAAGATGTTGGAATGGTCATCTTCTGCGTGTCCTTGAGCGACTATGATCAGTTTTCTGCCGATGGGAATGGGTCTTTCACTAACAAGATGTTGCTGAGCAGGACTTTTTTTGAAAGCATCGTTACTCATCCGACCTTCGAGCAGATGGACTTCCTTTTGATTCTAAACAAGTTTGATTTGTTTGAGGAAAAGGTAGAACGGGTGCCGTTGAATCAGTGTGACTGGTTTGACGATTTTCATCCAGTGATTACCCGTCATCGCTCGAATAGCAACACCAGCAGCAACAACATTAATAGTAGCCCCTCATTGGGTCATCTAGCATCCCACTACATTGCAGCAAAGTTCAAGAGGCTCTATTCTTCTCTAACAGGGAAGAAATTGTACGCTTCCGTGGTGAAAGGCTTGCAGCCTGATAGTGTGGACACAGCTCTTAAATATTCAAGGGAGATTTTGAAATGGGATGAAGAGAGAGCCAATTTCAGCTTTGATTATTCGGTCTATAGCACTGAGGCAAGCTCCTTTTCACATTGATGTCAAAACTGAAAAGGCTTGTAAATGAGTTTTACTTTAGTGTGACATTTATCAATTCCACTGTGAATATAATGGTTTGTATATGAGCAATAGAAAAGATCGTTGCCTTCAAGCAGGCCTAGCAGCTTCAAGATTTTCAAGGTCATTGAGCATAATTCTTAGAATATATTTTTAAAATGAACAATATTATACAAGAGAACATGCCCTAGAAAAGCTTCTGCAACTGTGCCTGACATGCATGTGAGATAATCCTGATATTATTAACAATTCTTATCAGGAAAACATACGCAGGCTTCTTTCACAAGAGAATTTTTGTACGGAAATAAAATTGAGAAGAAAAGAATTTATAGATAAACCAATAAATAGGCAATTTCATTCTATTTTTTGCTCTTTCCCCGGCCTACATCTATACATGAATCAAAATAAAAAATCAGCTGCAAATACAAAAATTACTTGTACATGAAATAAGTTACATCTGAGTTTTGTTGTATAATCCCCAAAACTCCCCATGCTATGAAGGAGAACCAACCACACCCGAAGAGAGGAAAAAGCAAGAATCTCTTAACATAAAGGAATCTTCAGTCATCTACAAAACTGTATCGAATCTGTTCTTGCGAACTCAATAAAATGTTTTTCGTAGCCCAACCCAAAGTCAGCATTTGCTTGTTCAAGAGGCACATATCGCCTTGTGCACGGCACTTGCACTCCTCAATTAATTTAGACCACTCCTTCAGAGCTGACTCTAATTCATCTCCAGCATCAAACAAATTCTCCCACCTATACTTGTTCATAAGGAGGGATTTGCGGATATAGCATGCCTACATAGCATATTATCACACACATTCACAAAAAATGAGGAGACAGCATCACACCAATTTAGTAATGGTTCAAAAGTTTTTCTATTTCTTGAAAAAAGTTAATTTTACCTGTAACAAACCCATGACAATATCTGTTGTGCTGGCTCCTTCCCGTACACAAATAAGGATGCCTTGCTACAAATCATCAAGGGAAAGAAATTAATATCATTAGAGTATGATACATAAGCACATGAAATGTAGGTTGAACATCTGTTAATGTACTTACTCGCCTACTTCTTCTAATTCTTGTGTAGAAGATCTCCATGGATATGAAGTAATAATCCTCACCACTTGTAGAACGCATTGTCATTATGGACAACTCAGGGATCTGATTCTTGGGATCCAAGTACCCTATTCTGATAGGCCATAATCCTTTGTCTGATTCAAACCGTAGTTATTGGCCTTAAGCTCATAGGTGCTTGCATAAAAAGCAAGCCACTGAACAAGGTTATAAGAAATGCATGTGAAAGACCTAACCTTTGCTCCTTAGGAAATCAATTCCTTCCTCTTTACTAACTTCTGCAGGTGCAGGAACATAACCTAACTCAATCCAAGTATTTAGTATAATTTCAAGTCTATCCTGAACACAAGAACCAAGCAAAAGCGAGACGCGGAAAATTAAGATACTTATTTATCAGGAAATTTCATTTAGTCCTCTAAATAATGGGTAATGAGGCAAATGTTGTGCAGGCTACTAACAGAAATAAGATAGAAGAAATAATAATCACTCACCTTAGTTAATGTTTGTAAATGGACATGTTTAAGCCCTTGATATATTGCAAAGAGGTCAATCACTGAGAAAATGGGGTATACAAAAAAAGGCAAGGCTGTTTGCAATCTGGCACGGCAATCACAATTTAGAAAAGCATTCAAAGAATAAGATTTGATAATCATAACAGTGAATACATCAAATAAGAAGAAAAGTCAAGTAATGGAAGCTGGAAAAGAGAACCTTTGGCTGTTCTTGAACAACACATTTAACAGTGCAGCGAGCAAAAGGCCAAGGTTATCAAAGCACACTGTTTGAATCTGAAAAAATTCCAACAGTCAAAATATGTTTTGTTTCAAGTATACAAAAGATAATTAATTTCTAGGAAAGATTATAGCACACCTGTGCCTTTGCAGAAACTTCACCAAGGTTATCTGCTATTGCAAAACTTCGATGAACAGCGGACTGCACATACAGAGGAAGAACATTAACACTCAAAATGAGAAGGAGCCAAAACCCAACCTCATACAACTTTAGCAGGAAAAAGTGTCTCAGTTCTTACACCAGTCGCTAGATAGCAAGCCAAGCTTATTTGTTTTGCCATGTTGGCTAAGGATGCCAGAACCAAGAAGTATTGCGGAAATGCAGGGGTCAACAACTCAACTCCAAGGCTCAAACTGAATAGCACTGATGTTGAAAACCTAACTCTCTTCAAATGAAAAAACAGAAGATAAATGAGTTGCTGAAGCCTGATGCTATCACATTCTAATGCACAAGGAGTCCATATTACAGAATTTCGGACTTTGTTTAGTTTTAATAAGACAACCAAAGTACAGTGCTTACAACCTCCTCAAATAAAGAAATTCCATGCCATAAAGATATATATGAAACCAATTGAAGACGGTCTTTCTGACCAAATATTACTGTGGAGTAGAAGTCATACCTTCAAATTGGTATCAAAAGCAGATGCTAGACTAGCAGTGTAGATGCACCTACTCAGCCGTCCAAGTCCCTCCTTCAAGAGCCAATTAAGGGCAGCAGCTGCTGGAAGTGAACGAGAGTACCCAATGCCAATAGCTCGAAACATTGCCTAATATCAGTGCATCCCCACGTATAACGAACCATATCAACCAAAATTTATACGCATCTTAAAATTAAAATCGTTTATAATTCTATCTTATAAGCATTATAATCCTAAAATTATCAAACCTCACAAAACCAGCGTGTAAAATCTCCTGACAACTTATTTTGGTTTATTTCACTTCTTCATTCTGTACATTTCAATCAACTAATAAAAAAATAAGCCTTTTATCACATAAATTCGTACCTGAGTGGCGAGGACCTGTAGTGCCGAGCTGAAAACCCGGTGCAAGAACTTCCATTTCACATAATCCATGTAATTTCCACTAACTTGTTTAGGGATAAAGAAATCCCTAACAGCCAAACTACAGATTCTATACAATTTTCGGAACCCATCTTCGAAATTGAAACTAAACGACGCCGCACCGCCATCTACTCCAACTAACTGCAAACAACTGCCATCCCAGAAGTACCTAGAAACTCTACCTGACCTCCGAATCACCACCGGAAGACGACCTGGCGTAGCGGGTCCTGGTTCTTTGCCAAGGCTTTCTTCTGGTTCATATCCAATTGAAGTTCTCAATGAATTGGTAAAGGTTGGGGCTTTGAAGCAGGTTTTGAGCTTCTTGGGGAATGGTCTCTGCGCTGTGAATTGGGTTTCATGGATTTTCCTTGGAAGTGGAAACTGGTGGGAGTTGGAGGCTGTGTAGAAAGCAGATTGCATGAGAAATGTACTTGGGAAAATTAGGGTTTGTAATTAAATGGGTCTAATTTTCGCGCCAAGTATTGGGGACTTTTTAGTAGTGAGGGTTTAAGGGTTTTGGAGCTTAAACAGAACCAGTTAATACTGACTGAGCTAACTTACCGTGTGAAACAGACGAAAGAGAAGTTCCTCAAATCCCTATAAACGAGGAAGCAGAATTTTCTAAAACATAAATGAGAGATAAGATTCGCCCAACCTCACAAAAGGCAGTCACGCCCAAGACTCACTTATTTTTCTTCTAAAAAATCTTTTATTTTCAGTTTTATTAAGGGAATATTTTTTGAGAAGTTATGGAAAAAATTTAGGAGATGAATACAATAAACATAGTTTGCATTTGGGGCGAAAGGTTTAACGAGGGTTGTTTAAGTTGATCTCATCAAAATAGTCATTTTAATGCTTGTAATGGGGAGCTTCAAAATTTCATATAAGCGATATTTAGACGACATACTTTTGGCAAAAAAAGAAAGAAAGAAAGATAATAGATGATATGCTGAGGTAAATGTTCTCAACTACTTGCTGCTTGCATACTTTAAAAAACCATTGGCTAAGGGAACTAGTTAAGCAACCCAACCTTGGCATTACCGGCCACATCCAAGTCCATAACTGATGAGTCTTCACAAAACTCACACCATCTCCATTTCCTTAAAACTTGGAGGCTAGATAGACCAAAGTGAAATCCTTGGAGTCTCAAAATACATAAGAAATGAAAGTTTATTTTTCCTTTCTTAAATGTACAGAAATAAGCCAAAACCTGGAAGCCTATGGCTCAAAAGCATCTGGCGTCGCATGCAAAACTGCCCATCATACTGAAAAACGAACTCAACTGTTGCATCTGAAAATAGAAACTTTCATCACAGCATCATTTCTGTCAATCAGCTCAAACACACAAACATCTCCCACTTTCAAAGCACGATCCCTTACAAACTGGTACCACCCTGCAGAGAGCCTGCTAGAGTTGCGTTTAGAAATACACTTCACAAGCCACCTCCTCTTTGAGTCTTGAAGCCTGACATACTTTTTTCTTCCAATACAACTATTCTGAAAGCTCTTTGGTATAACCTGCAAAAGTTAGATTAAAAAGTATTATTGCATATATACTATCAATATATGCACCAATTGATGCCTGACCAAAATAAAAGAAAGCTAGCCCAACAAATGAATATAATTATGAGAGAAAAGAAATCCTAACTGAACAAGAGCACAATAAATTTCACAATTCTTGAGTAGCAAAATTCGAACAGCACTAATGCTTCTCCAAATCATCGTGCTATGGTTACAAGAAAAATGCAGATATGATCGATGACGTGAATCAGCAATATGATTCCAATCATGATTCATGACAGTTTAGATAAAATCACTACTTTCAAGTTTTTTTGTTTATCTTTTCTTCTTTTGTAAAACTAAGTCAAAATAAAGAGGTAGCGAACTATTGTATACTTATATGCATCAGAATGACGGGTCCGATGTTCATACCAGTCTTCCCTTGTTCACATATGCTTTATGCATAATAGCTCTGAAGAAAGGATGCTTAGAAGAGAATTTTTGGCTGCTTCAAGAGCTTCACTCGGATTTTCCATTTGAGTCCTTGAATAAAAATGCTCTGTAGAACCCAACTCTCCTGCATGAATTAACTAAAAAAATGAGCATGTGCAGTTTACCAAAGGGTTTTAAAACTTATCCATTCAGAAACTTACTAGGCAACCCAATTTCGGAATCCTCGTTAAGTTGATCCTGTTGAGTATCAGGCTCATCAATATCCATCGATGTATCAGATTCAACATCAATTACTTCATTTTTTATGGCACAAATGGCTTGACTAGTTGTAGTTCCATCAGCTGAGCCAAAGCCCTGGCCATCTACATTCTGCTTTCCATGAATTGCATTATCATGTCCCTCCTCAAGGGATCCGTCATTTTTGCTAACCGCCATTACAAACTCCTTTTTGCACCCATTTCTTCCATATACGTCAACATCAAATTTCGAATTTCCAGCATATCGAAAAATTAGAAATTCACAAAGCTTTAAACCATGGTCGTGCACAAATTCCTTCCAACCCTTTTGGAAAAAGAAACCATCATTAACCTTTTCCACATTTACATTCCAAGTTCCAGCTGGGGTCCGGAGAACAGACCTCCAAGGTACCTCTCCAGCAAAATGCACGTAAAAAGCCGGAGGGATTTTCTGTAACAAAGGTGATTAGGATGCAAATGGAAATTTATATCAGACCTAACATTTGGTAAATTACCTTGGTTCATAATCACTCTGAAAATAGCAAAAAGAAAAAATATCTACAGAAAGAGCTACTGTACAAAACAGGAATTCATATCAAGACTAATGGGATAAAGTAAAATGATATCAAAAATTAGATTCTAGTAGTACCACAAACACACTCAGACAGAAAATAAAGCATGAAACTTTAGTATTCTAAAGTTTTGAATCAAGAAAATTTCAAAACCCTCTCTGTCCATAATAACAAAGTAAGGTTATTTTTATTTTTCTCTGTTAAGAATTAAGAACATGGGGTTTTTCCTTTTCATGTGAAGCTATACTTACCAACTGGTTGGAGAAGTCATGTACAAGAGCCTTGAAAAAGGAGGGTTTTCTTCTTGTTCTAGCCATCACGATTTTCTCTAACTCCTTTTATGATCTCATGTATTTCCTTTTACTTCTCTTCTCCTGTCGTCTTGTGAATGGAGGAACGGTCTTTCCCTCTAGTCAGAAAGTAGAAGCGTGTCGCCATGGGGATATTGTGTATACCAAAGAGTAACTTTATGTCGGCTAGCAAGGCCCAATTCTATAATGAATTAATTACTCTGTTGCCATATCAAAAAAGAAAATAAAAAAGGAAGGTTAATTTCATGGTCGAATTCTCTTGGGAAAAATCTCCTCCTCAGCTTGTCTGAAAAGGAAAACATGCCTAGAAAGCAAAGGAAACAACTCTGCTTAATTCAATTATTCTAATCTTTTATTATTCCTTTACACTATATTAAAGTTCAAGTTTTATTTCATATTTTGCTATCATGAAAATATGAGATAAGGTTGGTTTATGAGAAACTGGCAGTCGAGGTGGGCATCAATCTGGCCAAAATCAATGAAAATAGCCCGAATTAAACTGTAATTATCAATTTGGTTTGGTTTTGATCAAGCAAAAGTCAAACAGTTTAAAAATCAAATCGGATAGTATATGGTTTGGTTTTGAGTTATGAGTTTTTATGAACCGATCTAAATCAAACCGGAATGTTTATGTGTATATTTATTTATTTATATTATATTTTACATGTGTAATACTTTAATTAGGTAATAACTATATATGAATATTTGAATTGAGCTATATTAGTTATTGAAATTTGAAGTTTCATGGCATGTTGAGTTTTAAGATGGTTTCGTACTCTAGAAAATGATTCACGTATGAAGCAAGTTGTGAATTTGTTGATTGTAATTGGGCTAACAATGTTGATAAAAATGCAAAAAGAAAGAGAGACCCAAATTGGCAGAATCAAACCGTCTTAAATTAGTTTGGTTTCCTTCATAACTTTTGTCAAAATTGAACCAAACTAAACCGTTATATTGTCATTGGTGCAGGCATGGTTTTGAGGTGAAACCGATCCAATTCGGACCGTGCCCACCCCTAACTAGCATGAGTGTGATTGATCTAATCCAATCCCATCCAAATTTGACTTGAAAGTTTGGATATTGGTTTTGTATAATGGTTGCAAAACCAACTAATTTGATTTGATTTTCATTAGCAAAAACAGTAAATTGCACCAAATAAGTTAAAATTTGCTAAAATGTTTCCACCAAAATCATTGATAGGAAAAACTGACCTTGTTGGGAATAGGAAATTGAACCTCCTCTCCTTTTCATTAGGCCTTCTTAAACCACCAAAGAAAGACAAAATTGCATTGACATCTCTTTTATCCCGAGCAAAAAGTTACTCAAACAAATAATGTGCCTGTCCCTTAGAAAAACAAAAAACAAAGAATTTGCCTTTGCATCAAACCAACCACCACAAATCAGAAAACTTCACAGGCCTGGTATATCTCTGACCTAAAGAGAGGCAATTTGTTCCTTCTATTTATACACTTCTAACACAAAGGATAGAGATCTCGCAGATTGATGCCTATATTCAAATGCATTGTTTAAGAAGACGTTGAAAATCAAAATTAAAGGAAGAGTTATACTGTGTCACTACACCCCATGAAATCCATAACATAATGTTCTTTCAGAAGACCCAGTTGAAATGTGATCAAAACAACAACAGAGAACAGCAACTTGTACTGCTTAATTATGTTTGTACTTCTTTAAATTTGGAGACGTCCACTGCCTTCTTTCGGAGAAGAAGCACATCATGAGAGCTTCATCTATGAATGAGGCTTCTCTTTTAATCACCTGACTTGAATTGATCCTCCGGCCTGATTGCCTATCCCAAAACAAAAAAGAAAGAACAAAATATGTCTAAGTTATGCAGAGGGCAGACCAAAAAGGAGTAGAAATGCACAAAATAACAGGTTACTTGCCTGGTGACGAGGTGCAACTTGAAGCTTCTGTCTTGCGGTAAAAGACAGCTTCAAATCAAAACTCAATCTTGTTAATCAAGAGAAAGACACGCATGTCACCAACTTCTAATTTATTATCTCGGCAAAATGTCATGAAACCACCACCGAGTTTGCCTCTTTCACCTTCAAATGCCAACTTGACAGGCCAAGTTTTCCCATCCGAAACCCGAAGAGTAACGGTAGCTCGCTGCTCGGTGAGATGTGTCCTGACAAAATTACGTGGCAAATACCGGAAAAAGAAGAAGGAAAACAAGAAATACAATAATAAAGTATATGGAGAGAATATCTATGATTTAATTTGCTCTGTAAATGTATCATTGCTTAATTATTTCCACACAAACATTTATAAACAGAAGTGAACATAAGTTGAGAAGGCTCTGCAGGGTTGTCTATAGAAAGCTTACCATATAACCTCTACGGATGTACGAGTTCTGAATTGCAATCTTGAAAAATGGTTTTTCAGAGTTGAAGCTATTGTTTCTCTGAAGAGGAATAGTTTTTCCAGTACTTGTAGCCAATGGATGCATTGATGTTTCAGATTCAGTATCGGTTGCTTCATATTTGATGGGATCAATTGAAGGCAAATTCTGTTTTCCATGATGTCTTGGGCTTCTTCTGTGAATTACATTACCATGTCCCTCTTCATGAGGTCTGCGGCCCCTTTCCCTAATGGCTGTTACCAACTTGTTTTTGCAGCCATCTCTTCCATAAATGTCAACATAGAATCCCAAATTTCCAGCGTAACCAAAGACTAGAAACTCACAAAGCTTTAAACCATGGTCATGGACAAATTTCTTCCAACCCTTTTGGAAAAAATACTTGTCATTAACCTTCTTCACATTAACAGCCCAAGTTCCAGCTGAGGTCCGAAGACGGGACTGCTGAGGTACATTTCCATTAAAATGCACGATAAATGGTGGCAGAATTTGCTGCGACAAATGTGAATAGGATGTATATAGAAATGAGCTTTGTGAGAGAGAGAAAATCCCAAAATATAGTCTTGAGCCAATCACCCAACATAGCACAACCAAGTTTATTTACAAACTTTTGACCAGAAAAAAAAAAAAGTTTGTCTACAAACATTGAAAAATTAATACAAAAGGCAAACACAAAGTAATATGGTATGTGATGTCATGTACATTTTCATCACAAGTACACAGATTTATGCCCCAATAATGACAATGAGTTTGATGCTTAAGATACACAATTCAACATCTTAACAGATTTGGGATTTTATACTACTCGCGTTGCAGAAATTTTGTTCATAATTTGTGTTTTAGATTCCAAAACACAAAATGCCAGTGCAGAGGATGAGATCATATATTTGGAAAGAACATAACCCATTTCTAATAATAAAAGGGACCATTTTTTTTTGCTTGTTAAGTAGAAGAGAGTAGAAATAGGAGCTGGACTTACCAACTGGTTAGAGAAGTCACCTACAAGAACCTTGAAGAAGGAGGGCTTTCTTCTTGCCATCACCATTTTCTTTCTCTTTTTTCCTGTTTCCCGTTTGAACCCTATCTTCTCCCTCTTCTGGACGGAGGAGGGCTTTCTACAAGAACCTACTTTTTGGGTTGGTGCCACACTTCGGAAACATACCTCCTTTTAATATTTTATTATTCTTTCTTTTTTTAAATTTTTTGTCCCAAGTTTATTTCATCTTTTGTTCTTTTGTTCTTTTGTTTTTTCCGTTGCCTGGATTGATACTAGCCATGAGATGCAAAGATACATGCTTTGAGAAGAGTATTTCTGAAAGAAAGTAACTAGAGGCCTCTCCAGTGCTTTTTTTTCAAATGTTTACTACCTCTAGTGTTTTGCCATAATGACATTGTAATAAAAGTGATACAAATAGCAATATTGTTTCGATTCGACCGGAATGAATGAGTAGTTAAAAAAGAAGAAAAACTCTCTTTTTTTCTTTTCTTCTCTGTTGCATGGATTGATATTATCCATGAGATTCAAAGATAATGCTTTGATCTTCTTCAATTATGCCTTCAAATTTTGTTATACAATCCTGCCTTCAACCAATAATTTTTCAATGTTGTCAAGTACAGCAAATTAAAAGAGGTCTATGAAGTAAAAAAGGTTTTGAAAATACCCAACAATATCTGCAGGCCTTCCAGTGCTTTTTTCAAATGGTTACTTTACTACCTCTCTAGTGCTTAATGACATTACCTTGCATTGTAATAAATTTTTTTTTTCATGAACAAACTATAGAAAATTGCACCAAATAAGTTAAAAGATTTGTGCAATCACAAATAAAAACATAATTCTTTCTGAATAACCAGTTTTAATATGATCAAAACAATAACATAGGACAAAGTATACATGGGCAACTTGTACTAGTTATGTTTGCTCATCGTTTATACTTCAAATTTGCAGAGAAAGCATATCATGAGAACTTCATGTATGAAGCATATCAATTCATCCTCCGCCATAGTTTGCCTACCCAAAACGAAAAAAGAAAGAATGACAACTAAGTTATGCAGTGGGCAGAGGGAAGACCGAGCAGAGATTCACCACATTAATTTATTACTTGCCCGGTAACAAGGTTCAAAGTGCAGCCTCTGTCTTGCGGTGAAAGAAAGCTTCAAATAAAATCTTCTCAATCAAGACAAAGACACATACATCACCCTCTTTTAAACCAGTCTCGCACAAATGCCCTCCAAAAACCTAGGAATTGGTACATTCTTACATTGACAGGCCAAGTTCTCCCATCTGAAACCCGAACTAGGCTGCTCAGCGAGATGATCGTTGACAAACTAAGGCCGGCAAAGCCTGAAAACAGAAAAAAGGAAAGCATGAAGGACTAATAAAATTCATGGAGAGAATATATCTATGATTTAATTTGCTCCATAGAAGTATCATTGCACAATTCTTTTCACACAGACATGTACAAGTTGCGATGGCTTAAAAGGGTGTCTCTATAAAAAGCTTACCAAGTAACACTTATGGATGTAGGAGAACCACATTGCAACCTCAAAAGAAGGGTTTTCAGATTCAGAACCAATGTCTCTGTGGAGAGCAAGAGCTTTCCCAGTAGTTGCAGCCAATGGATGCATCGATGTTTCACATTCAGTAAATTTTATTTTAGTTTCATTTACAAAAACAGTAAATTGCACCAAACAAGTTCAAATTTGTATGATCCAAAATGTTTCCACCAATTTTTTTTTAATAGAAAACCCGACTTTGTTGGGAATAGGAAATTGAACCTCCTCTCCTTTTCATTAAGCCTCCTTTAAACTAAAGAAAGACAAAAGAAAACAAAAGTGACTTTGCATTGGCATATCTTTTATGCCCAGCAAATAGTTACTCAAACAAAGAATTTGCCTTTGCAAATGCAAACCAGCCATCAGATAATCAAACTTCACATGCCTGGTATATCTACGACCTGAAGAGTGGCAATCTGTTCCTTCCGTTTATAAAAACACTTAAAAAAAAGTATAGAGATCTAGCATATTGATGCCCAAAGTCAAATGAATTGTTTAAGAAGACGTTGAAAATCAAAATTAAAGGAGTAGTTATACTACGTCGCTACACCCCGCGATATCCATAACATAATGTTCTTTCAGAAGAGTCAATTGAAATGTGATCAAAATAACAGAGGACAAAATATGCACAGGCAACTTGTAGTACTTATGTTTGGACTTCTTTAAATTTGTAGGCATCAACGACCTTCTTTCGCAGGAGGTGCATATCATGAGAGCTTCATATATGAGGCTTCTCTTTTAATCACTTGACTTCAATTGATCCTCCGCTGTGATTTGCCTTCCCCGAAACAAAAAAGAAGGAACAAAACATGTCTAAGTTTTGTAGAGGGCAGACCAAAAGGAGTAGAATTTGACAAAATAACAGGTTCCTTACCTGGTGGCACGGTGCAATTTGCAGCTTCTGTCTTGCGGTAAAAGACAGCTTCAAACAAAAACTCAATCTTGTTAATCAAGACAAAGACACACATGTCACCAACTTTTAAATTATTATCTCGGCAAAATGCCATGAAACCACCACCGAGTTTGCCTCTTTCACCTTCAAATACCAAATTGACAGGCCAAGTTCTCCCATCCGAAACCTGAAGGGTAACATTGGCTCAGTGCCTGGTGAGATGCGTCTTGACAAAGTTTTTTGGCAACCGCTGGAAGAAGAAAAAAAAAGCAAGGAAAGAAAGGGAATAATAAAATTTATGGAGAGAATATGTAAGATTTAATTTGGTATGTGAATGATTATGCTTAATTTGTTTCAGACAAACATGTATAAATAGAAGTGAGCAGAACAGAAGTTGTGATGGCTCAGCAGGGTTGTCTATAGAAAGCTCACCATCACACCTCGATCCATGTACGAGTTCCGTATTGCAACCTTGAAAAAAGGTTTTTCAGAGTTGTGATGGGATCAATTGAAGGCAAATTCTGTTTTCCATGATGTCTTGGGCTCTTTCTGTGAATTACATTACCATGTCCCTCTTCATGAGGTCTGTCCCTTTCGGCCGTTACAAACTCTCTTTTGCAGCCATTTCTTCCATAAATGTCAACATAGAATCCCAAATCTCCAGCACATCCAAAGACTAGAAACTCACAAAGCTTTAAATCATTGTCATGCACAAATTTCTTCCAACCCTTTTGGAAAAAGAACTTGTCATCAGCCTTCTTCACATTAACAGGCCAAGTTCCAGCCGAGGTCCGAAGGTTACTTTTGAGGTACTTTTCCACCATCAAAATGCACGAGAAATGCTGGCTGGATTTGCTGCGACAAAAGTGAGTAGGAATATGTAGATAGAAACGAACTTTGTGAGAAAATCCCACATAATCTCGAGCCAATCACCAAACATAGCAACAACGTTTATTCACAAACATTGAAATTTTTGGGGTTTTAGGTTAAATGGTCCCTGAACTTTGACTTGATTCGCATTTTGGCCCCTCGTGATCCTTTAACTTTAGTTTTGTTAGGACAAAAGGTCATGTCATCAGTTTTGTTAACTTTTTCTGTTAAATGCGGGGGAAAAAATGGTATTTTTGTATTATTTTTAATTTCCACCATATGATTATTCCAACAAAGCCATGGACAACCTCCACCCGACACCAAGCCAATTAACCCACCATCTCGGCAACAACTGATGGCGCTCCTACAACCAACAACCCCCACCCCCACCCAAACCATACCCTCCCTACTTGCGATGGCGAGGATAGGAAGAAGGTTTTTTAGTTTTTATTTTTATTTTTTTGGGTGAAATGAATATTCAGATAGTGGAAATTAATAATAATACACAAATATCATTATGCCCCTGCATTTAACAGAAAAGATAACAAAACTGACGGTAGGACCATTTGTCCTAATGAAAGTGAAATTGAAGGACCACAAGAACGATTTTTTCATAAGAAATGGTGTCACTTATGATAAACTATTCAAAAAACCAGTTTACAGATTCTACAGATTTTTTCATTGGTATTTAAGGGATTTAAAAGGATTAAGACCCCATTACATTACATAAACTAATTTGACTCCAAAAGACAAAATATTATGAACACAAAATATAGATAACAAACAAACAAAATATGAACTCAGTTTAGAACTCAATGGGGTAAGTAACTACATCAAAAAGGGAAAAAAGCAAGCAAGATATCATTGATTTACAACGATAAGATATTGGTGGTCCATACTTCATTGAACAGCCAAAACTGATATCATTGATTTACAAAGTAGTATTGTACGACCTTTTCCAACAACAAAAAAGTACTATTGTTCGACACCCAGTAAAGCATGCAGCTTTAGTATTCTATCTAAACTGTTGATTCAATTGACCCAAAAACAAAAACAAAAACAAAAAACTGTTGGATTCAAAGCTTAGGTTTGGATCATCAAAACTACAAAACCCACTGTGATATAACAAGCTTAGGTTTCTCATTTCCAGTAATTGAAAGGATTTTTCTTTTTTGAG